TTAAAGCACTTACAGAAATCAACAACAGAAAAGCGTAAACTGATCATTCACAACAGAAGAAAATGAAATGGCTACTAAATATATGAGAAAAGTGTTTCATTTGTAATCAAGGAAACACTGATTAGAATAGCAATGTCATACTTATTTTTCACCTTTCATGTTAAGAAAGGTGAAAATGTTAATTTGCTTGATGTTGGAGCAGGGGCAGTAAGAACACAGCCACTCTTTTAGACACTGCTGATGAGGTATAAATTTGTAGGAACTCTTGAGAAAGTACTGTAATTTGGTAATTTCAAAGAGCTTTAAAAATGCTCCTACTTTCTTACCCCATAATTCTATTTTTAGGATTCTATCACAAGGAAATTCTAAGAAATATGTATAATATTTTATCCACAAATATGTTCATCCCTATGTTATGTGTTATATATATATATATATATATATATATATATATATATATATATATATATATATATATATAAAGAAAAGTATTCAATGCTTAATGTTAGAGGATACTGGTTAAGTAAATTAGAGTCCATGACATGAATATAATGTGTCACGTGAATATGTATTGTGTAACTATCTGAGTATTTTATATTTATTTGCTCATTGAACTCTCACTACAATGGTACTGAATATGTTTCCCTGGCCTTTCCAGGCACACCGACCACTCTTATGTAGCCTGTTCAGTGCACTGAAGATTGACTTGTATGGACTGCATTAACAGGCTCCCTTGCCTTCTAGCTTCTGGTTGAGGTAGGTCAATGGAGAGGACTAGCAGGAGATTAGAGACAGGCAAGGGAGGGAAGTTTGGTATTCATTTGACCTGAATCCCTCTCTGTGGGTTTCCTGTGGGCTGACTACCTCTCTGAACTGAAGGCCCCAGCTTGTGTCAGGCAGCTCTTTCCAAAAAACCTCTGTCGCCAGGTTCTGATTACTGCTCTCTCCCCTACAGTGATACTTTCCTGATGTCACTAGTCTGGGGGTACTGCACAATTACAATTCCTTGTGGTTTCTCAGCATCTTGCCCACATCTTTTAAAATACTTCCTTTATGATAACTCTCTTCAAATGATCTAGAGTTTGCTGTTTCCTGCTGGAACCCTTACAACAACTTATGAGATTCTACGGTTGAGGAGACAGTCACAGAGACGTTAAATAATTTGCCCCAGGTCACACAAGAGAGGAAGTAATACTTGTAGGATATGTCACAATTATTTCTTTATTTATCTATTTTAAAATAACATTGTTTTCATTATGAAAGACATACAAAGTATACAATACAAACAAGTCAAATGAAGCAAGTACTCACATTTCTACCCATCTATTGCATTCATCATTTATTTAATAAGACTCCCACATTTTTATCCCCAAACTCCTGCTTTGAGTCTCAGACTTTATGTTCAATTGCCTACTCTATAACCTTCATCTGGATGTCTCAAATGCCCTTGAAACTCAACATGTCCAAAAACATGCTCATGGTCTCCCAAATCCTAGCCACAACCAAATCTTATCAATTTTACATGTAAATGTCTCTAATATGTCCACATCTCACCAGCTCCGTTGCTGCTACTCACCTTTGTCCAAGACACCATCACCTCTTTCTCTGATGAATTCCAAACTTTGGTTTCTCTGTATCTATCTACTCTTGTCCCCTTCAACCCATTATTCACATGGCAGGCAGATAGACCTTTTCTAAATGCAATCTAGTCATATTGTTCCTTGCTTAAAATCTTGCAGTGGCTTCCATTGTTTTAGAATACAGACTGAGGATCTTTCTTTGGCTCAGCCGACCTCAGCAGCTTTGTCTCTGGCTACAGCTGCACTGGCTGGCTTTCAGCCACTCCAATGAACCATGCTTCTATCTACCACCTGGCCTTTGCCCACATTGTTCCCTCTTTCTGGAACATTTTTATACTGTCCCTCCCAAAGTTAACCTCCAGAGTGGTCAAGACACCCTAACACTTTCTTATCACCATGGACTTCTCCAATATATCATTTATAAGAGTTTGGATTCACAATCAAACATGTGGTTGTCTATTTCCTCTACTAGCTCCTCTAGTGACTGTATGATCAGTGAAGGTCTCTGTCTTGTGTCACCTGTGTATCCTCAGTACCTTGCTCTGTGCCTAGCATACTGTATGAAATCAAATATTTGAATGAAAAGAAATGAAAAAAAAACAGGAATAAGGAGAATTTGGACAGGATCATATTTGAAAGGGCTGAATTTTTTTTTAATTGGGGAATTGAGGGGATGGGAAAAGCGCTGGGGAATTGGGGGAAGGGGAACAGACAAGTTGCTGTCCTTTTGTTCTTCAGTCTAGTTATGGAGGACGCTGCTTCACTGGCCCAAGTTGGCATCATCATTGGGCTCTTCCAGGGTGAGGCAAATCAGTCACCAGCTTCTGGACGGCTGCTCACTGCGGCTGCTGGCTACACATGGTAGCCCATGGCAACCCACTGCAGTAAGGGCTGCGGCCTACACAGCGGACCCCAGCAACTCACTGGCAGCCCAGCTCCAGGTTGAGCTGTTGTTCAGCATCTTAGCTGTAGAGGGCAGTGTCACTGGCCCTCATATGTGGGATCCGAACCGGGGCCCTCTGGCATCCCAAGCCAGCTCCCAGCCATCTGCCACTCGGCCGGCCCTATAGAGCTGAATGCTTTATATCTATTATTTCCTCTTGCTTCACTTCAAAGTCTAACAAGATAAAAATGATACCCATTTAGTCCTAAGTCTCAACTCCTTTTCTAGAAAGTAAAAGCTATTAAAACTGGATAAAGAAAAGACTAAATCTATATTTCCTTAGTTTCTTCAACAAGATATTGTTTGATACAGAATGGGGTGAGCAGTAGGCCGGAGAAATGTTTATAGGTGGGAACGGATACAAGTTAACTTCCTAGAGTTATCATTATTTACTTTGAATTCATGTCATTATTACATCTATTTTTGAGGGTTTAGTGATGACAAATTCAGATCTAGAAAGATAAAGTGGAAATTTAAGGGATAAAACTAGCAAGACAAGAGGCTGGCTGCACAGTTAAATATATGCTCTAGGTATCTCTCTTTTCAGTAGGATGGGGAAACACGTGTTTTGTTTTGTTTCTGCACCTTAGCCATCCCCTGACCTTCTTTTTTAAACTGCAGGTCCCACATAATCTGTGATAGCTGAGTTCTCAATTTTCTCGCCTACTTATTTTGATTTTGGTTAAGCACCTCAGCTTGAAAATCCTGATAGAAAATCAATAATTGCCAAGCCTCCCCAAAGTGACAGTTACCACCTCACCCCGCCCTCTCCCTAGGGAGCGCGCGAGGCTGCGCAGACCTCACCCGGCCCTTGTAACGTCACGAACGAGCCAAACCAAGTCCGCGGCGGCCCTGCGACCCTGGGATCCAGGTTCTCTTCCTTCAAGTACCCACTTCCTTAAGTCCACCTCGATTCAGTCTCCTTTCAAGTAAAGCATAAGAATAAAATCTCCAGGTTGAAATCCCCACGCAGCCACGCCCACATTCTCGCCCGGCCACCGCCACCCCCACCCTCACCCCCCGTTGGCTTCGCCCGGCCCCATGGCAACTGGGGGTGGGGAGAGCGGCTCGCGCACAAGCCGCAGGCGGGCGGGGAAGGCGGAGCCAGGACTCAACAGCGCCAGGTCTCCCCGCCCCTGAGTTGGCTGGCCTCCTGGGGCGGGCCTCCGAGAGTGCCAATCTAGGACAGCCAGGCCCCAAAAGCCCGGGCCTGGGAGGAGGAGCGGAGGAGAGCAGAAAGTCGCCTCCTACCCCGACCCTCGTGCTCCTAAACTATGAGTTCACACAACTCCGCTGCCTCCTTGGGCAGCGGCCGCGGAGGTGGCAGCGGAAGTGGGAGAGAGGTAGAGCAAGCGCCTGGAGCTGGGGCATCCGCAGCCCAGATCCTGGACCCAGCCTCCACCTCCGGCGCGGCCCGGTCCTTCACGTTCGGGTCGAGCATCCATTCTGAGCCGCAGACCACCTCTCATCTGTTTTCCAGCCACCAGGTGAACACTTCCACACCGTATGCAGCCAACTCCTGGAGGTACAGCACACCCTCCCATTTCAGCTTCAGTCCTGACCCGAGAATTGACATCGACTACGACATTGGCTTCAGGGGCTTTGCCCCCTATGGCCTACCTGACTGGATTCCAGAATCTGCCACCCAGTTGAACACTTCTGAGGGGGTCGTCCCCGACTCCAACCTGGACACTGACAACCCCCAGATATCAGTACCAGAACCTTCTATGTCCAGTAATACCCCCCCGAGAATCAGTCCAAGGACCCATCCAGCCTTTGATGGCCGGCGTCCTCAAAGTATCGGTACCACCAACATCTCTTACACCCAGTAACGCTCCTGATCTTCCAGTACATGGGTTTGCCCCGCCCTCAGTGCCCAGCTCCTCCCGGGGTTCGTTCCAAGTACTCCCTACAACAAATAACACTCCCCAGGAGTTATTAGAAGGGTCCACCCAGCTCTCAGCGACCAACTCCCCCTGGTTACCCATACAAAGATCTGTCCCCCTCTCCAATTCCTCCCTATCAGCGGCATTTGGGTACCCCCTGTCCTCAGAATTCAGCTCCGCCCGGAGTTCAGTACAAGAATCTGTCACGCTCTTGAGCTCCCCACAAGAGTCTGTACAGGGGTACCCCCTGCCCTCAGGGCTCAGCTCCCCGAGTTCAGTACAGGGATCCGTCACGTTCTATGGCTCTCCCCAAGGGCTGGTACAAGAGTCCGCCCCTCCTTCAATGCCCGACTTCCTCCGGGCTTCGGTACAAAGACTTCCTATGCCCACGAACTCCTCCCGAGTGTTGGCACAAATGTCCACCCACCCCTCAGTGTGGGTTATCCCTCGAATATTGGTGCAAGGGCCAAGTCCGCCCCCGGACTCCCCCAGAGGATCAACACAAGGGTCCGCTCCGCCCTCAATGCCGAGCTCCGCCCGGCTCTCCGTAGAAGAGTCGGCTCCGCCCCCCGGGCTCCCCTCAAGAGTCGGTAGAAGAGTCCGCCCCGCCCTTGGCCAGCCTCTCTCCCTTACCCACGCCGGGCGAGATTGTCAAGCAGAGCATGGCGAGTCGGGAGAAGGCGAATGTCGAGGGCCACATGTTCGACGTAGTCGTTATAGGAGGTGGCATCTCAGGTCAGTGTGAACCTCAGCGGTAGCCTGCTCTCCCCGGAGTGGAGAATTTGCAGTAGTGCCCTGGCGGTTTCTTTCTTTCTCTCTTTTTTTTTTTGGCAGGGGTCGGGGGGTGGGGTGGGGGGCTGTCTCTCTCTCCTACATTGGAGAGTTCACCAGTGGCCGGCCCTGCCAGGCTAGGTGGGAATGGGGCTTAAGGCCAGTTTTGCTGGTGGTGTGAACTGGGGAGGCAGGAACAATAATTTATTACTACTATTAAATACTAACATTTCATTACCTCTTGCTGTGCAGTTATATTTAGCACTTTATGTTGATTTTCTCAATCCTCAGCAGTCCTGTGAGGTGGGTAATATATTCACCCCCATTTTTCAAAACCAAGAAACTGAGGTCTGGAGAGTTTCGGGTCAAATCACCTAGCTGGGAAGTGGCTAAATGATTTTCTCCCATTTAAGACTCACTTCTAATTTCTGAGATGGCTGCTTTGCCTTACTAATTTCAAGTCCTTATGCCCTAAGCTGGCAAAGGACATCAGTACGTGGATTTTTGCAGTATTTGTAGTAACGTTATTCCAGTCCTGCTCTTTTTAAAGCACTTTTCCTTAGAAAATTTGGTAAGTGACAAGGAAGCAGGAAGAATCTAAGGAAAAGGTTCAAATATATGGTGACAGATGGAAACTAGACTTTTGGTGGTGAGCATGCTATAATGCATACAGATATCAAATTATAATGTTTTATACCTGAAACTTATATAATGTTATTAACCTATGTTACCTCAATTTAAAAGAAAAAAAAAGAAAAAGAGAGGGGTGGGCTCTTAGTTTCAACCTATTCCCACTGTTTTTTAAGAACTTGCAGGAAGGTGTGCACTTATTGCTCAAAGGGAATCCCTTTGTGAAGCAGGGGGCAAGAACAGGTCAGAAAATGCCCTGTTGTGTCCTTTAATAAGAACTCCCACCCCCTGAATCTTGTCCTGTGTTGAGCCAGCTGGTGAGCCTGGGTTCCCCAGATCTTGGCTTGGGTTTGTAATTGACCAATGGAGTGGTTCATGGGGTTGTTCAGTATCTTCCTGGAAACCTCATCATGACTGATATATTAAATTGTCACTTATGTTGTCATAACTGGTAAAAAATGTTTAAAATTTATGAATTGTGTTTCAACCCTAGCTAGAATCCCACACTAATCTGTCCACGACCAAGGAGGGTGTTAATTTCTGAAGTGTACCTGCAGGATCTGATTTAGAAAGAGGGAGAAAGAAGGTGGGAGGGAGTAAGTAGGGTGGCCCCACAGTAGCCATTTTTATGTATAGTTTTTTTGAGGAGACTCTGAACATGCTTAGAAATTAATTTTGGGTGAAGATAGCTTTTGACTTGGCCTGTTGAGAATAAACAGTCTTAATTGTCAGAGAAGAGATTGGCATAAGCTGTTGCTTTGACAACTCCAGCCAGCGCCAGCAAAAACATGCATGTATATTGGAGCATCAGAGGAAAGCAGAGCCTGGTGGAGAGGAAGAAAAAGAAGTATTTCCCTTGTTTCCATTCAATCATTTATTCATTCAGCAAACACTTGTTGAGTGCCTGCAATGAAGTGGACTGTTGTTTCCAAAAATCTAGAAGCAATATGATTGTTGATCACTGGAAAATAAATACGATGATATGTGTTGTATAAATTAATTTGGAGTTCTGTATCCTACCTCCATACTATCCATATTTTACAATTCAGGGTTCTTTCTGGGATTTTATTCTTGTATTTTTCTCGTTCTGTGCTCCACTATTTCTTCAGGAGAGTTTTGTCACTAATTTTTCCTTGCCTGATTACCTGCCGTTTCTCTCTTTCCACATTTTACTACAAGTAGTTGGTGGTGAGCAGAGGTGGATTCACCGTGCAGCTGATGATCCTTATGCTTTTTGGTCCCTCTATCAGTTTTAAAGTCTTATGGATGTTTCAGTCCCTTTTTGTTCTCATTTTAAATAACTAGCATCATACTGAATCTTGTATTTGTAATTCTGCATTCTGTTTTCTTAAAGGGGGCACCCAAATTCTATAAGCTTCAGGCTCCTCAAAACCTGGATCTGTCCATGGTTGTTATTATTTATTAATTTGTTCATTTCCATTTGGGGGAAGTAAAGGGCATTTCTTGCTCTGGAGTTCACACTCCTGTTCCAGAAGCCAGCTTCTAGTCTATCAGTGATAGCGGAAAAGGCACTGGGCTTCCTCTCATATCGTCTTTATCAGTTATATTTGAGTGATTTTAACACCAAAACTGACCAGAAACATTGCCTTATGGGCATGGTGCCTTCCCAGATGGTCACAGATGCAAGGCTGGCTCTGGATAAACCCTGAAACAGACTGGGTATTTCATGAGCAGATGAGAGGCGTTGCTTCCCAAGGATTCTTGAGAACTCAGGAACACATCATCTTTGCCTGTGTTTAGCAGTATCCCATGAGTTACTTAGTCCCTATATCAGTTTTAAATGCTTTTGGATGTTTCTTGTAAATTTTGTTAGGACTTGCACATTTTAATATGTTACCCACACACTTATATGGCCAATACTTAGTATCTGCAGTATTATTCCTATTATATAACAAACTAGCTCCCAGAACAGCACAAATTCTAAACAACATTCCTCAAAATTAATTCCGTATTAAGACTTATCTTTCATTTTGTATAACTATTTTTGACTGCACAAAGAATACAAACATCTTAATGTATCTCTTTTATCATTAATATACGTAAAACAGCATAGCTTATAATCATAAAATCCCTTTTTCTGTCTGCTAACCAGTTAGATAATTTTATATACTATGTCAATAGTTGAGAAGAGAAAAAAAAACCCTGTTCATTTGTAAGTAGTATAATGGTGTCTTTTACATGCTCTGGCCCTTATCCATCATCCATCTTCAAGTCTTTTTTTTTTAACTCTTTTCATTGTTTTCTGTGACACTATTGGATCCTGAATTTTTATCCCACACTGATTGCTCCTTTTCTATTCCTTTCATTGTGCCCATATTCTTGTGAACTTCTAGTTTTGAAATGGCCTCAAGATTCAGCTGTTCATCACTTTTGGGCTCTTACGCATTCTCTTCCTCTCTTTCTCATTTTAGAACTTCAGCTTTTCTTTATCTATAGAAAGCTCTTACATCTCTAGTTTGATTCCTTTTCTTTCTCCAAACTTCTGTCCCATAGTTTATCTGCTCCTGGATATTTCACACTTAAATGTCTTGTTCTTTCTTCATATTCAATATGTCCAACGCCTTCTTGCCCTCCAACCTACCTTCTCTTTCTCACTTTCTTGACTCTCTTCTTGGCATGTCTATCATTTCCATCAGTTTTGACGCATCCTTTTCTGTAACTTCTATACCCAGTCAATAGATTCTTTTAACTCCTCTTTGGGGCTCATCTCTTCTCCATTCCCAGTGACTCCCCTGTCCCGAGGACCAAACTTTGACCCCTTCAGCTCACTAGATTATGACCTTCCCAGTGTCTACCCTTTACTTTGGGCTCTCCCTTCATGTCCATCCTGCAGTGTTCTCCCAGACTTGATTTTTAAACACTTCTTTCATCACCTTGCTCTTCTCTCCAGGACCTTCAATGGTCTATTACCAGCCCCTGAAGCTTCCCTCCAGACCACCAATTATCTGGTCCCACTTTGTTTGGCAGGTAGCATTTCCCGCTATCCTCAACACTGACTTGAGCTTTAGTCACACTGCTCTCTTGTCAGTGCTATACTAGGTTTATTTTGTCCCTCCATTCTTTTCCTGTTTTTGTTTTTCTTAACATGAAAGTGCTTTTCTCTGGCTATTTACATCTTATCTATTCTTGAATACCTCATTAAAGATCTTTTCCTTGATCATTCTGAATCCCCCTGCTTTTTCTCTCCTCTTGTAGAGCTTAGAATCTATATCTAACAATTCACGCTTATTTTGTCTCTATTTCTTGATGTCAGTTTAAGTACAAAGGTTCAATCGCTGAATCTAGATGCTAGTTCTTACTCATGAGCTGATGCAAATGTAACCAATTACAGAAACACAGTGACCTAACATTTTAAAATCTGCCCTTAACTGAGAATTTCTGAATTGGCTCTCTTTAGGGAGAGAGAAAAAAAGCCTGCCTCCACGGGATATTGCATACTTCAGATTCTTTGGGCCAGAGGGATTTTTAAATGGCAGCCTAGTCTAGTCACCTAAGATTTTAATCTTCTCCACAGCATCTCCTTAGTGATTATCTGACTGTAGCTTTGAACACATCTAGGAAAAGGGAATGTTCTATCCCTCAAAGCATTATGAGCAGAGGTGTCTCTGGTGCCTGGGCTCAATCAAGCATTTTGGGAGCCTCTACCATATGCCAGGCACTGTCTAGATCATGGGAAAAGAGGCCCCGTCCTCTTGTAAGAAGTAATCAAATGGGGAAATAATTGACATTAATACAGTGAGAGAAATATTAATGTTATGAATATGAGCAAAGTGCTGGGACCATGAGAAGTAAGTAGGACTTTAACAGGTAAGTAGGACTTTAACAGGTAAGTAGGACTTTAAGAGGATAGAAAACACATACCAAGCGGGAGAGACTGGAGGAGCACAGATACAGAGTCACAAGGCTGTGAGCTATCCATGAGCAGTGTTTAACTGAAGCCCATGGCAAGAGTTCCAGGAAAGGAAAATAGTTGCCTACTGTGCCTCTAGGGATCCTGGTAGCCATCGAGATGACCCCAGTGTGCCACATCTGCCCATGGATTTTGTGCCTGGGTGAGCTGTGAATGGTTAGCAAGTGCACAGTGAAAACACTTTAGCCATAACGCTAGATGGTCCTCGCTGATTAGAGAATTTTTTCATGTTTTTTTGAAATTAAGTTCCAAGTGTCATGTAGAAAGAGATATTTCCAAATAGTGCCTAAGTAGTACAGAACTCCCCTATATTTTTATCCACGTGCTGAGCTCCACTAAAAGAAATGAGAGCATGATTGGCCCTGAACTCGGTGCTGTGTAAAAGCAGCAGGGATTGTATCTT